TTTTATTAAGTAAGGACTTGTGTCGCTGAAGTTTCGTCGGAACAAAGTTAGAAGTTACGGAAAGTTAATTAACAAACGGAGACGTAACAATATAATGAATAAATTACCTAATGTGTTAAGTAAAAATAAAGTAATCTGTTATTGCTTTTTATGAAAAATGGACGACTTTGCATTATTTTCACATACCAAATAATTTAAAAGAACCCAATAACGAAAGAACATGGTTATAGCATTACAAAAGGCTGAAAGGTTTATCCCCTTGGATGTATGAAAAGGGAATGATCTATGACTTTGATAACGTGTATAACTTAAATATTAACTATAGTTGATGACATATTGCAGTAGTAAATAGAGAAAGTCTGCTGGTTGCTAAAGTGAGGTCAGTATTAAACCAAGATAGTCGTCTTATCCTTTATGGACGCCAAACTCTATGTTGTGTCTGAGAGCAGAAATTTGGATCTTTTTCCTTTTCCAAATGCCAGTTAACTTCTAACAATTTAGAAGCCAGCCAATATACAGTAAAGACGTAGAATGTCATATTTGTGTACAATAAAATTTTGTTTCTTGCGTTACACAAGTCTTTCCTTTACTCTCCGAGTTCATTTACTTCGTTGCAATACATTTCCTAGAACTTTGTATTTATTTGTTGGTTCTAGTTTAATGGTTTATGTTTGGATGTCTACGTGTTTGATTGTAAAGCTAAACAATGGGTTATGTGTGCTTTATTCACCGCGGGAAATCGGACCTCGGATTTTAGCGTTGTAAGTTTGTAAACTGAACCCTGTCCCACCGGGGGACCAGTTTAATGGAAATAATACAGTAAGTCTTTGCTTGTGTTGGTAACTACAGTACATTTAACGTTATTTAAATGCCTTTATGAAATGTGTATGAGGCTTAAACAATAAATACACAAGTCAATAATGGCTAATAAAATTATCAAATCATTCTTCATGATGCTGTAACTGAGTTTAGTTCACAATAATGTTTATTTTTTATTTTTTCGTTTTATAATGATTTACCTAAAATAATATACATAAATAATTTAGAGACTCCTGCCGAGAATAAACAGAAACAACTATAGCTACAGTAACGTATTTGTTATATAGAGCACAGCTCTGGTTCTTAAGTAAAGTAATGTTGTGAACCCGTACAGTAGAGGGAAGCGAAAACGCTTTGCTGAAACATGTTTCATAACTTAGGTAGCATATTGTAAACATATCCTTTAAGGCAGTCAGCTGTAAGTTAATATATAAAGGTTTAAAATAATTCAAATTGGAAACATATTTGGGTAGTGTAATAACTGTATAAAGTGTTTCATGCACAATGAACTCTGTTTACAAGTGTCTGTTTTCTGGTCGCGCTCTTGCATCGTTTGTGCTCAGTTGTACTGGTGGCTTTTTTGGCAGTATGCTAACAACGTTTGGCGTAGTATGGCTTGTTTGTTTATCCCCAGAATATTGCAGTGGAGATCAACTTCCTTCTTGCCTCCCAGTAAGTTACGTATATCAGTACAACTAAAATTTACAAAGTTAAACTTTAATGCTGCTATTACTAACTGACTATTCCCATTTGTTAAAAATAAATCTTACAAGTTACAGTTGCACTAAGTTAAAGTGAAACACTTAAATTATAATTTTATAAGGAGGAAAGTCGAGCTAAATATAATATATACAGTTTTTGTTTTAGAGCAAATTGTCATTTTTTATTGTAAACCATTTCAGAGTAACCTTAAAAAGTCTTAAAATTAAATTGGATTTTATATTTTTAAGGCTTAGAAAAGTCTTTAAAATGTTGCTGAAGGTCTTAAATCAGTCATTAGCCAAAACAAAATTTTCTTGCTATTAGTATTAGTCAGAGTAGACATGTGTAGAATTATTCAGGAAAAAATAGCAAACATATCATGTTACTATTGTTTGTAGATGAGTAACATGTTGATACTTTATTATTCATATTTTTGTTATTTTTAGGTCAAATTTCTGTGAAAATAGGTCTTTAAATTTTCTAAGGATTAGTCTTAGATTTGGTCAGTTGACAGCTGCAGGAACCACATAGTGGCTGGTTTTCAATTTAAAAAAACTTGAAACTTATTGTAATTAAGTATAGTTTGGGATTATAATATTAATTCTTTTAAAAGATATGTATTTTGCAATTTAACATTGAGCAGGAACTTTAAATAATATTAGAGATATTTTTAATGTGTAAGTGTGTTTGTTGTAAAGTGTAGGAAATAACAAACAAAAACAGTTACTTGTTGCATTTAGGTAACTAACCTAATCTTTACATGGATTAGACAGTATGTCAGATGCAAGTCAGTAGTAATCAGCATAATGTAAATAAATTTTAACATTGGGATGCAGCAGTTATTTGAATTGACTGTCAGTTAATCTGCAGACTGAAACAGCTGAGGACAGTTGCCAAAAAGTTGACCAAATATCTTGTGAATTAAATAAAATGAATAACTAAGAAGAAAAAAAATCCCTTTAATGTGTTGATTTATATGTGTATGTACATATATATGTATGTGTAATACCATCCAGGTTATGAACTTACATTAGAATTTAGTTGTTTAGTTATTTTTGTTGCTTCAGGGATTGTGTCATAAATGCTTTGTTTGTCTTTGCTTAAGCCAAGAGATGTGAAAGTACTTGGTAAGTTTGTGCTTTACTGAGGATTAAGAGTTTGGCTGGATTCTTTGCAATGTTCAGAACTTTCCATGTGTAGCTGTTGTCCCTGCCACATCCAGTTATACATATCAAAGTTAGCTACTTCCGTTGTGTATGTGTGTGACCTTCTTTGAGTACTGGCATTTGTTGCCATGGTTACATATAGAACTGAAAGAGTTCTTCTCTAGAGAGACCAGCTCTAATATTTCCTTGTTTATGTAAAATTTGTATTTTTATGACAGTGTTAATATCCTATAAATCTGTTCATCCTAGAACTTAAGTCCCTCTTTGGCACGTGTATATCTTGTTTTTAGTCTACTTGTTTTTCCAGTAGATTTCACAGTAAAGTAATATTTCATTCTTATAGTTAAAACTTTGTTTTGATAGAGAGCATTGTAGAAACTAACAATTTTCTAAGTATTCTTTATTTTTTTAAAAAATAGGTAGTGAAAACACAGACATTGGTAACTAAAACTGACATAATACCACTGATGACCAGAGCTAAGTGATGTGTGGGTGTTAAGTTACTTCGGAAGTATTTCATGAACATTTCACACCAACATAACATTTTATATGTACATAGATGTCTAGTGGTTGTAATTTATAAGAACAAAATTCACTCACCAGTCTCATAAATTATAAAATAGGAGCTACATTCTTATTTATTATTGTAAATAGAACATATTTTTCAACATTTCTTTTATAGGTAGAGCATGCTGTGTCTATGTAAAGTCTGCATACATACATACATATACATTTCTGAGAAAATTCTATATACCACATTGCATTAATGATGAACATTCAACTAACCCTTAGATACAACAAAGAAAATTATCTATATTATGTGCCCCAAAATTGTTCAAGTTCTACTTAGTTAGTTCAAACACATATACTATTCTCAGTATTCTACTTATATTCTTTAAAGGCTGTGTAAATTGTTAGATTGGTTTACTACTAGTCAGTATACATTGAAAAAAACTGTATCAAATTACTTTATTAGTTTATTGTTGTAAAAAACATTGTGAATATTGTTGTAACATGTTTTGTCATTGGCAGGCTCTTTTGGATTATTTGATAAAAATAATGTGAATTCAGCCCACATAACAATAACAAATTAATTTATTTCTTCAATAACATTTGCTATAGGCTACGTTTGCTGGTAGACCTAACTTCACAAATAATGTATCAACAGAATTTTCAAATTAATGAATGTTTAACTTCCATATATAGTTTAAATCCCTTACTTGCAAGAATTTCTCACTAATCGATAAACAACAAAGACACTGACTGACTAATTTACTGATGAACAGATGCAGCAACTCTGACTATCTAACTCACTAAGTGACACTGAACTGATTAACTGACTCAACTTTCAGTCTGATATGTTTCTAGCGTACTAGTTTTCTTTGTTCTACAGGAAACTTTGAGAGTCTGGAGAGGCCTAAGCTTTCATGAAATTTCTAGACTTCACCAGTCATTACTTATGACAAAAAAAAAAAACTCTTTCTACTGAACAAAATCTTTAAAATAAAAATATATCCCACCACAAAGTTAACCAAGGACCAAATTTATAGAATATCCATTATAACTGTTACAACTATTGATTTCTTGCTGTGCTCATTTTACACAAAGTATTGTCATTATGTTAATAAAAATGTAAACATTGCATGGTGTATACATAATACTGATTTTAAAAGATGTATAGTTTAACTTTACATTCAGCTGCTTAAAGGTGTGTGTAGTTTATGCTTCACACTGAATGTGTATGGTTCCTCTTGAACTAAAAATTTCAACAGATATGTATTATATATAGGGATTTGTTGAATTTGTGCACATGTATACATTTTCAATAAAGAATTTCTAATATTTCAAAGCACAAGCTAGAATATATAGATTCAGTGTAAGATGTAATTTAACTATACATTTGCAAAAGTTTATTGGTCAGATTTGCACATTTTCTTAAATTATTCAAACTTGACACTGCAATCATTTGGATCACTTTTTAAAATTTATTCTGATGTTTTAATGATTAAACAGTTCACTGTTATTGTGGGTGAGGAAATTGGTTAAATTTGCTCAAAGGTATGTTTCATACAATGATTAGCTATAGGTAATACGTATATTATAAGCTTTTTGAACAGTGCTGTAACATTTTTCTATTCTGCTTTGTTAACTTTATCAGTATTATTTCCCAAAATGTGCATCTTATAATTGATGCAAGTGATAGCATTTTTAATGTTTCTAAACCACTGAAAAGTAACAGCAATGTTAAAATAATAATTAAGTAATTTAAGAAGCTAAGCTGACCCTGTTGATGTTGTGAGAATTATCTGTTGCTTCTTCTGCCAAGTAAGTGTTCTCAGTTGACACTATCATAAGTGTTGTCTTGGGTTTGCTTACTTGAATGGATAGAGTACATATAGTTTCATCTAGATAAATGGCAGGACTGTCTGTACCAAGTAGTTATTATACAACTGGAATAATGAAGTATAGAATAGGTGCAATTGAGTTATGTAGTATTCAGTATTAAGCATCCAAAGGTTAAAGGATCTCCTGATTGATTAAGACATTTATTGTATGCATTAAACTTTACACTGTTTCTTTTATGGTATGTTTCTATTTCATATCAGGTTGATAGGGCATTTGCTAGAATGGTAGTTCCAGCCTTATCTTGATAACACAGGTATTATTGATTTACAGTATGCATGTCTGACAAGTTATACCAATGTTTAATTCAATATGTGTTTAATATCTTTCTTGAAAGGTTTGCATGATAGTTACTTAGTAGTTAGTTGGAGTAAGGTGATAACTGGATTCCTTTTACTTGTTACTCTGTTAGCAAGAAAATATATATTTAGAGGGTATACAACTACATGTAATACTTGACATATGGATTCATATTTTGAAGATTTATTTATTTTTCACGTTTGATGTTTAAATAGTTAAGTTTCATAAATGGTTTACAAAGCATGTTAAACTTTCTTATATTTTGTGTGTGCTTTTTTAGTGCTTTGGGTCAGTTCATACAAAGACATGCATATTGGAATTATTTGCTTTCAAAAGGCTTTGTAACATAAATTGTCTCTCTGTAGATTGAATGGTGAAGAAAATGGCATACAACACTTTCATAAATGTGCACAGCTGCTGTCTTTTGTTTCAGATTTTCAACATTTATATTGAATAACAAATATGAAATGGAATAATAGCCAAAAGTTTATCATGAAGCTAATATCAAAGAAATTTCTATATCTTGTAACATCTTAGCTCAGGGCTCTTCAACTATTTTTTTTAAGTGGGCCAGATCGGAAAAATTAATTATATATGTAATAATTACATTGTCTTTAGTGAACAAGTATTTAGACAAATAGTTGGTATTCCAATTGGAGCTAATTTTTCCTTAAATATGGCTAACTTGTATACATATTTCTACAAAAACTATATTTTTGAAACAAGTAGTAAATCCTAATTTATAATATTACACTTTTTGCAATATTGAGGATTAAATTTCTATCAGTAATTTAAACTTTGATCTTACTCAAATATATCCCAAAGAAATTGTATTAGAAAGAATTAACATTAGTAATAATTGTGCTCACTATTTAGATTTAAGTATTGTTTCTGATGTGGTACATTACTTCTTACATAGATAGTTATTCTCTTTTTTTTTCGCACACCACAAGCCTTAAGTTCCCATGTACCTTACAATAAACTGATTCAAATGCGTCTCACATGCAAATCATCATGTCACAACTCTCTGCCAACAAGAGTGCAACACAATCTCCTGACGCATGTGACTCCCTCTATTCTATTCTACCATACTATCATTTT